TGGGTTTGGCCTTCGCGAATGCGAGCCAGTGGACGCGAACATGAGGCAAGAGCTGGACAAGCCTTCGCGACCGCGGCCAAGGCGACGCGAACGCGAAGAGGAAAGGAGGGAGCTGGGCCTAAGGCGATTTGGCCTACGCGAACGCGTAGAGGGGTACGCGAACGCGAAGGGGCGGGTCAGCCGTCCTTCGCGAACGCGATCAAAGGGTGGCAAACGCGAAGACAGATTTATGGGCAATGAGTTGTTTTAAAACGGTATTTTGGCCATGTTTCACTTCATTTCCTCCATGGGAGCCGGTCTTGGAGCGATTTTGGAGCTCCATCATCATCATCATCTATGTCAAGGTAAGTGATTCCCATCTATTTCAAGTTAAATACTTGGATTATATATGGATTTAGACATGAAAATTTGTAGAAATTTGAGATTTTGAAGAAAAACCTAGAAATTGGTATTCTTGGATTTTGATCACGAATTTGGGCATGAAATTGAGAATAAATTATATATTTGAGTTCATCATGCTATGGATAAAGTTTATCTTCGAAAGGTTTTGGAATCCGGGCATGTGGGCCCGAGGGTGATTTTATCGACTTTTCAAGCGGAGTTAGGAATTGTTAGAAATTGGATTATAATAAGTATTAGATTGTGCATTTATGGATTTGCATGTTTATTGACTAGTTTTGGAGCGTTGGGCGTTGGTTTGAGTTATTGGAAGGGCTTGAGAGCCGGTGATAAAACTTCGGAGCGAGATAAATCTCTTTTCTAACCTTGTAAGAGGAAATTTATCCCATAGGTGTAGTTAATTAATATGTGTTGTTATCTGTGGGTGCTACATACGCACGAAGTGACGAGAGTCCGTACGTAGCTACTATCCCGGTTTATGTCCGGATAGTTTTAGGTTTGCACCATATTTTGTGGACACCGTTATGTCATTATATTTGTTAATTGTATCAAATGAAACTAAGCCGGGGATTTTAAGGATTTAAAAGCTTCAAGTTGAATTGTATTTACTTTGAAATGAATCAAGAAAGAGTTATGATTTATTGATAATTTATATTTGATCGCGTCGCATGTATGATCCGTGAGCGGGGTAAAAGATGTATCTATGGTTCATGTCGTTCGACCCTCGGCAGTGCACAGTTTACATTTATGTTGGATCGGACCGAACGTCCTCGGTGGAATTTTGTGTGTGATAATAGAACTAGAAGTCCCTTTTATAATTGGTATAAATTCATTATTTGAAAAATTATTTGTTTTAAATGAAGGAAGTGATCTGGGTCCTTAAATATGGTGATGAATTGTTTAGTAATTTCTTGTTCTGGGTTTTATTGTTATATATATATCATGCTTAATTAGAATTTTATATTATCATATTGTTGGCCCTTAGTAAGTGTCGAAGTCGACCCCTCATCACTACTTCTTCGAGGTTAGGCGGGATACTTATTGGGTACGCGTTGATTTACGTACTCATACTACACTTGCTGCACATTTTCGTGCAGGTGCATATATGTCTAGTGGCCTTGTGGGCGCAGAGGTGCGGTCATTGCGGGGATTTAGGTGAGCTGCATTCCACGTTACGAGTCCGCAGCCAGCAGAGTCTCCTTCAAAGTATTTATATTTTTCCTGTCCAATTTGTATTCCTGACAGATGTTGTATTGTATTTTATATTCCTAGTTGATGCTCATGCACTTGTGACACCAGGTTTTGAGAGATTATAGGTTGCACTGTATTGGAATTTTTAAAGATATTACTATTTATTTCATCAAACTTCATCTTTTTCTATTTAATTGAAAGAAATATGATTTCGGAAATATTAAAAATGAGAACCAAATTTAAGTATTTATTTTTGGCTTGCCTGACCGCGGTGTCCGGTGTCATCATGGCCTTTAATAGATTTTGGGTCGTGATAGTGTAAACCTAAAACTATCCGGACATAAACAGGGATAGTAGCTACGTACGGACTCTCATCACTTCGTGCGTACGTAGCCCTCACAAATAACACCACCTATTAATTAACTCCACCTATGGGGTAAATTCCTTCTTACAAGGTTAGAAAAGAGATTTACCTCGCTTCGTAGTTCCATCACCGGCTCTCAAGCCCTTCCAATAACTCAAACCGATACCCAACGCTCTAAAACTAGTCAATAAACGTGCAATTCCATAAATATACAATCTAATACTTATTATAATTCAATTTATAATAATTCCTAACTCCGCTTAAAATCGATAAAATCACCCTCTGGTCCACGTACCCGGATTCCGAAAATTTTCGAAGATAAACCTTACCCATAGCACGACGAACTCAAATATAAAATTTATTCTCAATTTCATGCCCAAATTCGTGATCAAAATCTAAGAATACCAATTCCTAGGTTTTTCTTCAAAATTCTAAATTTCTACAAATTATCATGTCTAAATCCATATATAATCCAAGTATTTAACTTGCAATAAGTGGGAATCATTTACCTTGTCATAGATGATGATGATTGAGCTCCAAAATCGCTCCAAGACCGGCTCCCATGGAGGAAATGAAGTGAAAAATGGCCAAAATCCCGTTTTAACGACTCACTACCCAAAAATCTATCTTCGCGTTCGCGACACATTGATCGCGTTCGTGAAGGCCAGGTGACCAGCCCCTTCACGTTCGTGTACCCCTCTACGCATTCGCGTAGGCCAAATGGCCTTAGGCCCAACTCCCTCCTTTCTTCTTCGCGTTCACGTCGCCTTGGCCGCGTTCGCGAAGGCTTGTCCAGTTCTTGCCTCTCGTTCGCGTCCACTGGCTCGCGTTCGCGAAGGCCAAACCCAGCATCCCCATAAATTTCTCTTTGCGAACGCGGGACTTCCTTCGCGTTCGCAAAGAACGAAACCAGACACAAGCAACATCAGTCCAAAACAGCTCCAATTTGGTCCGAAACTACCCTAAAACACACCCGAGGCCCCCGGGACCCCGTCCAATCACACAAACCAGCCCCATAACATAACACGGACCTGCTCGAGGCCTCAAATCACATTAAACAATATCGAAATCATGAATCACACCCCAATTAAGGCTTAATAAACTTTAGAACTTCAAACTTCTACATTCGATGCCGAAATCTATCAAATCACGTCCGATTGACCTCAAATTATGCACATAAGTTACATTCGATATTACGGACATATTCCAACTTCCGAAATTAAAATCCGACCCCGATATCAAAAAGTCCACTCCCGGTCAAACTTCTCAAAAACCTTCAAATTTCTAACTTCCGCCAAATGACCCCAAAATAACCTACGTACCTCTAAATCAACTTCTGGATGCGCTCCCAATACCGCAATCACCATACGGAGCTATTTCCAGACTCAGAATCCCAAACGGACATCGATAACATTGAAATACACTTCAACCCAAATTTACGAGATTCTTTTAAAATGCCAATCTTCCACAATAGGCTTTGAAATGCCCGGGCCATCCAAAACCCGATCCGGACATACGCCCAAGTCCAAAATCATCATACGAACCTATTGGAACCTTAAAATCCCGATTCCGAGGTCGTTTACTCACAATCACACTTTAGTCAATTCTTCCAACTTAAAGCTTCCAAATTTAGAATTTTCTTCCCAAACTAACTCCGAACTTCCCGAAATTCAATTCCGACCATACGCACAAATCATAATACCTGCAGTGAAGCTACTCAAGGTATCAAACCACTGAATAATGCACTAGAGCTCAAAACGACCGGTCAGGTCGTTACACCATTATAACATTTTATAACTGTTAAATAAAATAATAAAACTGCTCACACTAACCTGCTAAATCTTTTCAATAATTTGATGAACAGTAAGAGGTGCTTTTTCTATCAACACCCTTTCATTTCCTTACAGCTTACCTTCACTTTCTTGTATGCATATATCAGAAAGAGTTGCAAGACCAGTAAAATCGGGTTGCCTTTCCTTTGGTGCGGATGGTGTGTTCAAATTTGATATAGAAATATATTGTTCCTCTTCAGGTGAATCCAAAATTATATTCCCATCTTTAATATCGCGCAAACTAGCATCAACATATGTATCTCCTATTACAATATTTGTTCCACTTCCCTAAGAGAGTGCAAGTACGATATATTGCAAAATATTTTCACTGGACTGAGGTGTGAAAAGCGCATATGTCCCATCATTTATTTTTCTAATAATAGTATCAATATCTGTACGAGATGTGAGATCGGTTTCATCTGGACTACAGTCTGCTCTTTCTTCATCACAAAAAGGACCTTTCACTATATCTGCGCCAATTGGTGCAGCTTGATCAATACATTTGATATTTTGTCCATGATGGACTGATGCAATATCCATGGCTGATAGCATTGATGACACAGCTCCGCTATTTTGCTTATTATCTTGATTGCACTGTAGTGTTAAAATTGGATATGTCCCATCAGCTATACTTTCCATGATAGCAGCAACATCCGTACCAGTTGACCGAACTTGATCAAGTGCACTACATTCTACTCTTTCTTCATTATAATGAATTTGCGCTGAATTTCCATCACCTGCTGCATGTTCATTAGTAGTTTCTTCATCACAAGAACCTTTCACTAAACTCCAATAATTGCTGCAGCTTCATCAGTACCTTTATTATTTTGTCCTCCATGGACTGATTCATTATCCATGACTGATGGAATTAACGATGCAGCTGTAGTATTTCGAAAAATATCTTCATTGCACTGTGGTGTAAAAACACCATATGTTCTTTAAGTATTATAACCTCGTTCCATCATTTACTACATAATTTATGCTTTACAGTTGCTATGTGACTTGCCGGGTAATTGATTTGGGTCCGGTGAAATTTCGAAATGAATTGATACACTTAATCTCGAAGATGAATAGTTAAGTTGAAAAGGTTAATACCAGAAATTGAAAAGGACCGGTCAAACCAAGAATTACCAGAACATTCAAGTACTCTTATAAGACAAACAGTTGGCCATTTTATTAGGCCACGTCGTCTCAATTCAACAACTGCCACTGATTTACTGTAGTGCTGCACAAGTAATTTCTCACTCTCTAGATAAGAAATAGATTCCCTTATCTTTACAGCTCATATTTCCATATATTCCACGAGAATTTGTTCTCTGCCTAGCTATAGGCACCTCCTAATTATAGACTAATAGTATAAGGAGAATTGAAGTCTCAAATTCTCTGTCCATCATTATTTAAAGAACATAAATTTCTTTTCATTTTCATCCTTGAAGTTCAATGACCAGTTAGAAACAGATTGAAGTTCAATTTGAAGAACCAAACCAACAGAAATGGTGTGTTCCACTAAAAGAAGATGTTTTTGTAACTTTCATGAACAAGGCGAATTTGACAACTCACAAGGCCTTGTGTAAAGGTGCGTTGTTTAGTCCACTACTGTTCGGAAATTTCTTTGATCCTTCAGATGCATTTCCAGTGTGTGAATTTGACTCAGATGTGTTGTTGTCCAATGCCCGCAGGTCCAATCAGTGCACATTTGACTGGTCTCAAACAGAGACAGATTATCTATTGAGAGCAGAAATACGAGATACGAGGTTTTCGGAGACCAATTTACGATGCAAGGGCATTGCGGAGTAAGAAATTACATGGTTTGAGGTAAGTATCATTTCTAACCTTGGTTCGGAAGGTATGAATCCCTAAATGTTGTGTTATATCAATTGTGGGAGATGACGCATATGCTAGGTGACGAGCGTGTGAGCGTGCACCATAGAAATTGTGACTTAAATAAATTCTGTGAAGTTGAGAAATTAAAGAACCATGTTATTACCCGTGTATCCTCCACGTGTTAGAGAAATATAGCCGAGGCTCTTAGTAAAGATCATGTTTAGGCTACGTGATGATATTTTGGGACCCATGGGGTCATGTCGCTGTTGAATTAATTGTTCGAAAATATACATTTCACACTCAGTAATATTTGTTGTGAGGATATTTATGGGATTCAGTTGCGCGACGCAGCAAGCCACAATGGCTTTATACTTTACTATTTTATGGATTGGGGCTGCCCGCCTGCAGCAGGCCTTATAACCTTTATTAATATATGGATCGGGGTTGCCCGCCTGCAGCAGGACTTTAGCGAAAAACGGACTTAATGGACAAATAAGGGATAGGCAAAAATCTGTTCTTGAACAATATAGGCTTTATTATTATTATGGGATCGTACTGCATGCCGTAGTAGGCCATATTAGTTTTATATCATGCTTGGGCTGAAGGAGCCCCTCCGGAGTCTGTACATACTCCCAGTGAGCGTAGATGATTATATATATTTGGGATAGATTTTCTTAGGGCATGGGCTTGCCTTACTTATTTATATTGTGATGAATTTACCTGGACATGGATCTTGTTCGTATCATTTACATTTGGGGATACATTTCCCAGGGCTCGATTGGCCTTATACGGTACTGAGAGACTGACTATTAGTCGATGTGTGTGTGTGTGTGTATATATATNAAGCTGGAAAGCATGCATATATTTCTGTACCATTATTTATATTGGACTGTACCTGCGGAGCTCATCATTACTTTCAGCCCAGAGGTTAGTCTTATTACTTATTGAGTTGGTTGTATCCATACTACATTCTGTACCTCATGTGTATATCCAGGTACTTTCGGACACGGAGACTATTAGATTTCAGAGTACTATCAATTAGAGACTATGAAGGTAGCTGCTTGGCATCCGCTGACCTTGTCTCTCTTTCTTTCAGTTATTGTATTGTTCTATACTTTCAGATAGTGATTTTTATCAGTCAGACATTGTATTCATATTAGATGCCCGTGTACTCAGTGACACCGGATTTTAGGGGTGTTATATTTGTAATTGTGAGATTTCTTCCGCTGAATTTAATTATTATATTTTTAAATTTTAAAAAATATGGTGATTTATTGAGATTGTCGGCTTGCCTAGTATTAAGAAAGGCGCCATCACGACAGGTGAGATTTTGGGTCGTGACAAGTTGGTATCAGAGCTCTAGGTTACATAGGTCTCACGAGTCATGAGCAGGTTTAGTAGAGTCTTGCGGATCGGTACAGAGATGTCTGTACTTATCTTCGAGAGGTTGCCGACCCCTTAAGAAAATTTCACTTCCTTGTATTCTATCGTGGGAAATTGATTCAGCTTGAAACATAACTCTTTGAATTTCTTCCACGCATTCGTGTGCGCATGTGAGCGCTCGGTATCAGTTGTGCACCACCGACTTGTGATTCCATGAACGAGGTTCGTGATATGTATTCTGTGTTTTGGTGATGGGCTAGCCTGGAGGACTTGAGTCCAGGGTTAGATCGCAACTTAAGCTCGGTAACTTCAGTTGTGTGAACTTGTGCATTTGGACTCATATGTCTAGAAGTGTCCCTATGAATGAAATTTATGGCTCGATGAGCGGTTGAATGGATATATAATAAGTATGATGTGATTGCGGGATGTGTTCAGATGGGTTGAATGTGATGAATAAAGTTTACTTGTCACTCAAGAGTTTGCTATTGGGTACTTGATTTATGTCTTGATTTGACGTATAGTCTCGAGTTGTGAGTGTATTGAAGCATCTTTCACGTTGTTAAATTGTGGGATAAATTAAATTCTCATATCTTATTAACGAGTTTGGACTCAGGATGATTAAGTGATTGCGTAGTAATTGTGGCTGCAAAAAGGGTATAGCATGATGCCAATTTGAGGCTATGCAGGTGGGTTGTCTCCTGCGAAGTAATCTACATAGGTGTGTTCCTTATAATGTTGAGTGGAGAGCTTCTTTTCTAACAGCGGGGTGTATGTGTTGAGATTTAAATTTGAATCTGGTCGAGAAAGTTGACTTGAGTGTCAAGAGAATGAATGCGATCTTAGTGGATGATTGAGGTATCTTATGGTTGGTGTTGCATAAGCCTGAGAAAATTTTTCGTTGAACTGACTGCGGTATTATAGCAGTGATAGAGTATGGATATTGTGAGTTATGGAATGTTTTGTTCTATGGCTTTGAGCCATGTGGGGGAGTGTGCTATCACCGATTTGATTGCACAGTTATGTGTTGTATTGGTTTTGGTCTGAGGCATGCTTGTGGATTAGTTATGACTTGCAGAGGTTGAGATCGAGGATGTGTCTACTAAGGAAATTCCCGGATACGGATGTAACGACCTGGCCGGTCGTTTTGAGTATTATAACCTCGTTCCCCAATTTACTGCTCAATTTATGCCTTACAATTGATTTATGACTTATCGGGTTAGTTGGTTCAGGTCCAGAAGGATTTCGGAGTGAAATGAGACACTTAGTTTTATAATTAAAAACTTAAGTTGGAAAAGTTGACCGGATATTGACTTATGTGTAAACGACCTCGGAATTTAATTCTGATGATTTCAATAGCTCTGTATGGTGATTTTGGACTTAGGAGCGTGTCCGAAAAATTATTTGGAGGTCCGTAGTAGAATTAGACTTCAAATGCCGAAAGTTAAATTTTTGGGAAGTTTGACCGAGGGGTTGACTTTTTAATATCGAGGTCGGAATCCAATTCTAGAAATTGGAATAGATTTGTTATGTCATTTATGACTTGTGTGCAAAATTTGAAGTCATTACGGATTTATTTGATGTGTTTCGGCACAAGATATAGAATTTGAAAGTTTAAAGTTCATTAGGCTTGAATTGAGGTGCGATCCGTGGCTTTAGCATTGTTTGATGTGATTCGAGGCTTCGACTAAGTTCGTATGATATTTTAGGACTTGTTGGTATATTTGGTTGAGGTCCCGAGGGGCTCGGGTGAGTTTTGGGGTGGTTTCGGACCATTCCTAGGCCATTTTTAATAGCTAGTTTCTGCCTACAGAGGTGTGCAACGCGATAGCGAACATTTGATCACGTTTGCGATGAGCAAACAACAGTTTGGGGCCTTGTGAATCGCGATCGCAGAAGCTCTTTCGCGATCGCGTAGAACAAATATCTGCTGTACTGATCCGACTTGGGAAGCTTACATCTCGCAATCTATAAGGAATTTGGAGATGATCCAAAATTGAATGTTTTAGCCCTTGACGTCTAGTTTTCAGAAAGTTAAACCATTTGTGATTTGAAGTTGTGTACCAAAAGTTATTGTGGATACACTATAGGCTGTCTGGAAAGAGTTTGAAAATATCTGTTGCATAGGGCTGACTTTGGAAGCTTATATCTAGAAATCTATAAGTAATTGGGAGATGAGAAACAAATAAAAGTTATAGACCTTGGTCTCTAGTTTTCATAAAGTTAAACCATTTGTAATTTGGAGTTTTGTACAAAACGTTATGATCATTATACTAGAGACTGTCTGGAAGAGTTGGGGGAGTTTGTTCTTCGCGATCGCGATTGGTTTTTCGCAATCGCGAAGAGCAATTTTGGGGCTGAAAACTTTTGTGCTTCGCTGTTGCGAAGAGTAAATGTCAGGACAGAAGATATATTTTGAGGTTTCGGCCATTTTAACACATTAGGGGCTATGGAGCTCGGATTGAAGCGATTTTTACCATATGGATTGGGGTATGTGTTCTATATCCGAAAGTGATTATACTTCATGATTCTATGGTTATATTCATCATTTATTTCGGATTTAAATAGAAGAAAATCAATATTTTTGCAAATTCTTTCAAAAACGAAAATTTAAGATTTGGAGGTCGAGTTGTTATCGAAATTTGATAAAATTAGTATGGTTGAACTCGTATCGGAATGGGTGTTCGGATTTTTTAACTTTTGTCGGGTTCTAAGACGTGGGCCCCACATGCGATTTTTGAGCTAAATTTCGGATTTTTATGGAAAATTAGTTTTTTCTTATGGAATTAATTGCAATAAATTTTATTAACTGAATCGAATTAATTATGGCTAGATTCGAGGCATTTGGAGGCCAATTCACAAGGCAAAGGAATAGCGGAGTAAATAATTACATGGTTTAAGGTAAGTAACACTTCTAAACTTGGTTCTGAGGGTATGAATCCCCGAATTTGGTATTATATGAATTGTTTGGAGGTGACACACACGATAGGTGACGAACATGTAGACGTGCACCACAGAAATTGTGTCTTGAATAAATCTTGTGAAGTAGTAAAATTAAATAATCATGTTATTATCTGAACATGTGGCACGTGTTAGAGGAATTAAGCTGAGGCTAGTAATAAAGATCATGTTTAGGCTATGTACCGATATTTTAGGACCCATGGGGTCGTGATGCTGTTGAATTAATTGTTCTAAAATATATATTTCACACTCAGTAATAATTGTCCATTGTGAGGATATTTATGGGATTGAGCTGCGCAACGCAGCAGGTCATTTGGCTTTATATATGTTATTATTAAAAGGATTGGGGTTGCCCGCCTGCAGTAGGCTAGAATGGCTTTATACATTATTATTGTTCTGGATCGGGGCTTCCCGCCAGCAGCAGGACTTATTGGCTTTACTATTTTATGGATCGGGGTTGCCCGCCTGCAGCAGGCCTTATTGGCTTTATTATTAAATTGATCGGGGCTGCCCGCCTGCAGAATACCTCATTGGATTTATTATTATATGGATCCGGACTGCCTGCCTGCAGTAGACCATATTGGCTTTATATCATGCTTGGGCTGAAGGAGCCCCTCCGAGAGTCTGCACACAACCCCAGTGAGCGCGATCGACTTATAGCGCTTAGGCTGAAAGAGCCCCTCCGGAGTTTGTACACCCCCAGTGAGGGTAGATGATTATATATATTCGGGATGGATTTCCCAAGGCATGGACTTGCCTTACTTACTGCTTATATATATGTTTGGGATGGATTTTTCCAAGGGCATGGACTTTCCTTACTTATTATATTGTAATGAATTTACCTGGACATGGATCTTGTCCGTATCATTTACATTTGGGGATAAATTACCCCAGGACTGGATTGGCCTTATACGGTACTGAATGACTGACTGTCGGTCGATGTGTATATATATACGGGTTGGAACACCCCGGAGCTGGACTGGCCATAAACTGTACCAAGTGACCGAATAATTGGTGACAAGTATCTATAGGAGGTCTTGCTAATGAGATGTCATATTCCTTATATCATGCAGTTTGATCTATTTCACTTGTACTGAGTTTATGTGTTGAACTTGAAAGCATGGCTATATTTCTGTACCATTATTTTTACTGGACTGTACCTGCGGAGCTCATCATTTCTTTCAGCCCAGACGTTAGTCTTCTTACTTATTGAGTTAGTTGTACTCATACTACACTCTGCACCTCGTGTGCAGATCCAGGTGCATTCGGATACGGAGATAGTTAGATTTCAGAGTACTATCAATTGGAGACTATCAAGGTAGCTGCGTGGCGTTCGCTGACCTTGTCTCTCTTTCCTTCAGTTATTGTATTGTTCTATAATTTCAGGCAGTGATTTTTATCAGTCAAACATTATATTCACATTAGATTCTCATGTACTCAGTTACACTAGGTTTTGGGAGTAATATATTTGAATTTTTGAGATTTCTTCTGCTGAATTTAATTATTTTGTTTTCAAATTTATAAGAAATGGCGGTTTATTGGAATTTTTGGCTTGCCTAGTATTGAGATAGGCGCTATCACGACAGGTGAGATTTTGGGTCGTGACAAGTTGGTATCAGAGCTTTAGATGACATAGGTCTCATGAGTCATGAGCAGGTTTAGTAGAGTCTTGCGGATCGGTACAGAGACGTCTGTACTTATCTTCAGAGGCTGCCGAACCCTTAGGAAATTTCACTTTCTTGTATTCTATCATGTGGAATTGATTCAGTTTGAAACATAACTCTTTGAATTCCTTCCACGCATTCCGTATGCACATATGAGCGCTCGATATCAGCTGTGGATCGCCAGCTTGTGATTCCATGAATGATGTTCAAGAAATATACTCTGTGTTTTGGTGATGGGCCAGTCCGGAGGACTTGAAGCTAGGTTTAGACCGCAGCTTAGGCTCGGTAGCTTCAGTTGTAACGTGTACATTTGGGTTCATATGTCCGATAATGTCCCTACGAGTGGAATTTGTGGCTCGATGAATGGTAGAATGGCTTTGTGATGAGTATGATGTAATTGTGGGATATGTTGAGACGATTTGAATGTGACGAGAATTGTTTCCTTCAAATGTAAAGGAAGGCCATTGGGTGCTTTATTTTTGTTTTGATGTGACGTACAATCTCGAGTGTGAATGTTTTGAAAGATATTTCATGTTGTTAAATTTTGGGGAAAATTAAATTCTCGTGTCTTGTTAATGAGTTTGGACTCAGAAAGATTAAGTGATTTCATAGTAATTGTGGTTGCGAAAGGGTATAACAAGATGCCAATTTGAGACGAAGCAGGTGGATTATCTCTTGCGGAGTAATCTATGTAGGTGTGTTCCTTATGATGTGAATAGAGAATTTCTTTTTTTCCAACGGGGCGTATGTGTTGAGACTTGAATTTGAATCTAGTTGAGAAAGTTGACTTGAGTATTAAGAGAATAAATGCGAGATTAGCGGATGATTGGGGTATTTTATGGTTGGTGTGTCTTGAGCTTGAGAAGAATTTTCGTTGAACTGACTGCGGTATTAAGGCAGTAATAAAGCATGGGTATTGTGAGTTATCAAATATTTTAATCTATAGCTTTGAGCCAAGTGGGGGAGCCTGCTATTTACAATTCAATTCCTGGTTATGTGTCAAATTTTTTGTTTGGTCTGAAGTATACTTAGGAATCAGAGATGACTTGCAGAGGTGGAGTTCGAGAATGACTCGAGTGAGGAAATTTCTAGATACGAGTTATATTGCGCTTTATGAGTATATGAAAATCGTGGGATGTGTGAGTTGTTATTAGTAAATGATATAGTGCGCACGGAGTATGAATTTGATAGGTAGTATTAAAGTAGGGTTACTTCTTTGAGTGTTGTTGTGCTGATGGGGGCACATGTCTTTTGGCCCATTTGGGCGGTGTAATGTGGATTTGAGCAAAGGGGGTGACTCTTGAGAAAGTTCTAATGGATTCGAGATTAATATGTAAGAATTGAGAATTTTTGGCGGATTTGTTTATGGCTAAAATCTGAGATTTAAGTTGGATGGTGTCGAGACTTGTGGCATTTTTGTATATCATTATGGATTTTATATTTCGGTATGAGGAAGGTGAATGAAACGGCCTTAGACTAAAATAAGGTATTTTCAGAGTGGGTGTTTCGGTTGTGGTATTTATAGGGATAATTGTGATGTGGTGAGACTCTACAGATGTTTGGTGGCAATATTCTTGGATTTTGGTGACCTACGTGGTTTGGTCGAGTTAGAGGAATTCAGTTCTGATAGTTTAGTTATGTGCAAATGGATTTCAAAGTGTTCTTGATGGTTTCTACCATGGTTTGAGCCGGATATTTCCTATCAGTATGGGGAACGTATTGTGTATTGTGGCTTCCTCCTGGAAAGAAGCAAGAGAAAGGTTTCTAACAAATAGGGTATGTAAATTATTGGTGACTCAAATATGATAATGAGCTTCTTGTGCTTCTCACATGATGGCATGATAGATGTGGTGTGTTGTGCGAGATTTAGATTTATATGTACGAGGTAGTAGCTCATTCTTGAAAGGAAGATCACGAATTCTGGACGGAATGATCAGTGTTATATATCTAGATGAATGTTATAGTTGCTCGGTAATCCCTGATAAGGGTGTGCGGTTGAAAGGGGCATTGTGTTTTGATTTACGGAGGTGCATTGGTATTACAATACTCTCCTAGTTAATAGACTATTGATATACGAGTTACTGATATGTGGCACGGAGGAATTATAGGAATATTCCTAGTGGGATGATCGTGCATGAAGGATGTGATAGCCATGAGAGTGCTGGAGTTGTGATAAGTTGCGATGGTTCATGTGTACTTATTTGATTTCTCCTATATGATATGCTTGAATTAAAGGCATGTGACCATGCCAAGCGGATTATGTTACTGACACGTGAGTTGTCCGTGCGGATCCATGTACTGATATTATTGGCACGTGAGTTATCCGTGCGGATCCAGATAATTATATTATTGGCACGTGAGTTATCCGTGTGGGTCCATATATTGATACTATAGCATGTGAGTTGTCCGTGCGAGTGATGTTAATATGAGCTCTAAAAGAGGTGGTTAATGTTATTAAATTTGTGTATCTTGGTTCTACTATATATATAATGAGCTTATATCATTACAGTTGTGGTGGTGCTTGTTGAACTTATAATACGGTTCTCTACTTTGAGACATCTTCCATTTTGGATACAAGGTTGCGTAGTTGTGGATTGAGTTGTATTGGTGTGGCATGTCAATGGGATAGTTGTGTTTAATACTATAAGGTCATTGGACCTAGAACGTGTACTATCAGGTTTGATTACGGTATATTGGGAGGATAATATTGAAAGTCGGCTTCGAAAATGATTTTGGTTCTGGCTAGGGCGGGAGAGCTCCATGACTTGTTGATCTGATAAGATGTTATGAGATTTCGCGTGTTTCTTTCATTATCAGCAGTGTGCGAAAGTTGTAGAATGAGGTTTTGTTTGATATGGGGTTTAATACTATTACCGGGTTACTTTGGAGTAGTTAATGTGATCGAAAATGGTGTTGCAAGCATGGGAGTTGTGTAGTATGTTAAGTGATTATATTTGGGGTTATGGTTATGGCTTAATACAGCTTGTTCAGACTCATACAGCGTGTTGATGTGAGATTCAGGTCTTGAAAAGAAATTCTGAATGTTGGAAATTGAATTCAAAGGTTTATGGGCTAAGGTTGAAGTAATGATTTTTAATTATGTTGTGTTGTCAGGCCTATACAATTTACATGGAATAGGGTGGCGTGGTATCACCCCCCCGGGTATGTGCGTGGTAGATGGAATAGTGATGTGGTGGCGTGGAAACAACTTCTGGCATGTTCGAGAATGAACGTATGTTTAAGTGGGGGAGAATGTAACAACCTGACCGGTCGTTTTGAGTATTATAACCTCGTTCCCAAATTTACTGCTCAATTTTTGCCTTATAATTCATTTATGACTTATCGGGTTAGTTGGTTCGGGTTCGGAAGGAGTTCGGAGTGAAATGAGACACTTAGTCTCATAATTAAAAACTTAAGTTGGAAAAGTTGACCGGATATTGACTTATGTGTAAAGGATCTCGGAGTTTAATTCTGATAATTCTAATAGTTCCGTATGGTAGTTTTGGACTTAGGAGCGTATCCGGAAAATTATTTGGAGGTCCGTAATGGAATTAGACTTCAAATGCCGAAAGTTGAATTTTTGGAAAGTTTGACCGGGGGTTGACTTTTTGATATCAAGGTCGAAATTCAATTCTAGAAATTGGAAAAGATTCATTATGTCATTTATGACTTGTGTGCAAAATTTGAAGTCATTACGGATTGATTTGATGTATTTTGGCACAAGATATAGAATTTGAAAGTTCAAAGTTCATTAAGCTTGAATTGAGGTGCGATTCGTGGTTTAGCATTGTTTGATGTGATTCGAGGCTTTGACTAAGTTCGTATGATGTTTTAGGACTTGTTGGTATATTTGGTTGAGGTCCCGAGGGGCTCGGGTGAGTTTCGGGGTGGTTTCAGACCATTTCTAGGCCATTTTTAATTGCTGGTTTCTGCCTACAGAGGTGTGCATCGCGATCACAAAAATTTGGTCGCATTCGCGAAGAGCAAACAACAGTTTGGGGCCTTGTGAATCGCGATTACGGAAGCTCTTTCACGATCGCGTAGAACAAATCTCTGCTGCACTGACCCGACTTTGAAAGCTTATATCTCACAATCTATAAGGAATTTGGAGATTATCCAAAATTGAAAGTTTTAGCCCCTGATGTCTATTTTTCATAAAGGTAAACCATTTGTGATTTGCAGTTGTGTACCAAAAGTTATTGTGGATACACTCTAGGCTGTCTGGAAAGAGTTTGGAAATCTCTGTTGCATAGGGCTGACTTTGGAAGCTTATATCTAAATATCTATAAGTAATTGGGAGATGAGAAACAAATAAAAGTTATAGACCTTGGTCTCTAGTTTCAGAAAGTTAAACCATTTGTAATTTGGAGTTTTGTACAAAACATTATGACCATTATACTAGAGACTGTCTGGAAGAGTTGGGGGAGTTTGTTCTTCGCGATCGTGATTGGTTTTCCGCGATCGCGAAGAGCAATTTTGGGGCTGAAAATTTTTGTGCTTCGTGATCGCGAAGCATTTTCCGCGATCGCGAAGAGTAAATGCCTGGACAGAAGAGATATTTTGAGGTTTCGGCCATTTTAACACATTTGGAGCTATGGAGCTCGGATTGAAGCGATATTTGAGGAAAT